TACAAAACTATAATTTTGCCTGTGGTTCTGTATGGGTGTGAAACTTGGTCTCTGACATTAAGGGAGGAACATAGACTGAGGGTGTTTGAGAACAGGGTGTTCAGGAGAATATCTGGACCGAAGAGAGATTAAGTGACAGGAGGTTGGAGAAAACTGCATAATGAAAAGCTTCATTATACTTCTCCAAGTATAATTAGAATGATCAAGTCAAGGGGGATGAGGTGGGCAGGTCATGTAGCACGAATGGGGGAGACGAGGAATGCGTATAGGATATTGGTGGGAAAGCCAGAAGGAAAGAGACCACAGGGAAGACCAAGGCGTAGGTAGGTGGACAATATTAGAATGGATCTTAGAGAGATAGGATGGGATGGTATGGATTGGATAGATCTGGCTCAGGATAGGGACCAGTGGAGGGCTCTTGTGAACACGGTGATGAACCTTCGGGTTCCATAAAATGCTGGGAAATTCTTGAGTAGCTGCAGATTTGGCGGGTCCTCCAGAAGGGCTAGCTCCACGAGTAAGTAAGTAAGTTATGCGATCTCCATGCTGTCTGTCTCTGTGAATTCCTCTCCCCATTAGCTTTTGAATGCCTAAACCAAGGGCCCACCCAGCCGCCTATCCAATGGGAAAGGCCTACCAATGGGAAAGGGGGGGGGGGGGGGGCTCTATCCCCAAGGGTAAAGCGACTGGGGCGTGAAGCTGAACACTCACCTCCATCTAGTGCCAAAGTCAAGAACGGGGGAATCTGGAATAACGAAGAATATAGGGACCTACACCTTCATACTCCCTCTTCCATTCCTCCCAGTTTACGTTACTAAGTCCTGACACCAATCATTCGAAGATAAGAGCATCGACGTAATTATTATTTCCGAACAAATAACATTATTATTAATGCCCTGGGACTCAATGACGCTGTTTCACGTAATGAAAATATACAGCGCAGAACAAGAGTTTTTAAAATTATTAGTCTAATTATGAACGGTACATCAAGATATAAATGGAAAAGAGGGAAGAACAGGGAAAACCACGAAGGAAATGTCAATAGCAATATTGGCTTCAGGATAAGATTAGAATTGGAATCCACCCAAACATGAACTTCTGCACCAGGTCTGCCTCTGAGCTGTTTAAGCGAACACACTTCCCACGAGCTATCGTATTTTCACTGCCCTGTTGTCGGTGTATTATGACCGCACTAGGGGCAGAAAACTATAAAAACGGTTCTCGATAAGTAAATGATTGGCCCCCAAAAAAGAAAAATTAAGTAGCTTACCATGAACCCATACAAAACATTTCAGACCATTATATTATTCACTTCCTAATTAAATTGCGAGTCTGGAGACAGAAATTGCAAATTGCATCTGTTCGCTTATGTATGCCCGTATGGCTGGCTGGTCCATCGAACCGAATGCCACGACACGAGAATCGCCCAACGGATTATTAAGAAATTCGATAGGGTCACAGTGCGGCTGGAATTAAATTAAAAGAAAATCCTATGACCCCATCGGTATTTGAACCCGCGACGTTCCTGCTTGTAGCATATCTGTAAGATTCATAATTCCCGAAGTTAATTCTGAGTTCCAAGAGGCCAGAGTGACGAAAGCAAAATATAATGTACACAACGTAGAAAACTGTGCAGCCTCACAGATGAGAAGCTGAGCCGAAAGAAACGTGGTTGAACTTCAGTGATTTTGAACCTTACGGACACATTTCACTGTAACATCTGCCAATAATATACAACCCATTTCGTAGTAGCTATAAGACAAAGTGGCAAAACGGTGGCTCGCAAGCTGCATGCGGCTCTTTTGAACCGTTAGTGAGGCTCGCAAAAAAAAAAATCCCTCTCTTATGAGCGCTTTAAACATAAGAGATCAGCATAGTGAAAAGAGTGTACCTAAACGCCTGTGCCACCCAATCCACGTCTGCCTGCGGCTCCCGAACTTTTAGCAAGTTTGGCCACTCCTACTATACTTTTATATGTTTAAATGACTTGTCTGAGGAGTTATTTACATAAGTACAGTTAACTGGGCACTTACAGCACAGACATTCTTTTTAACAGAAAAATACATGTGTAACACATGCAAACACAGTCGCTTGGTCTGTTACTAAGAGACTTTGGAAGAGAATTACCACAAAGATTTAATGGAAATAAAATAGCATTTTTCTTGTACGTTTCACTACAACAAATAAACAATCACACACACACATGGAGAACCAGCAGACACATTTGTTAAGTCAAGTATTTGACTAAATTTTTAGTGTTTTGACGACGGTTAGTTTTAACATCTTGGACCGTGTCCATCTTCAAGGTTTAATATTAAAAGGATTTTTTAAGAATAAAACCAGACGATGGAAAATGTCCAAGATTTTAATCCACGCTAGCAAACTACGTGGTTTATAGGTTTTATATGCCTAGGGATATGCATATTTAAAATAGTTAAGAAAGAAGATTCCGCATGTGCTTAACGCGCTGCCTTCATGGCAGAAATCATAGACCATAAGTCTACTGGTGGGGAAAAAGAAACCACGTTATAATGGGCTATGAAGGGCATCTTACGGCTAACCTAAATACGTTCACATTCTCTTGAAGATGTCCAATAATTAGTCCAAACACTCGTGACTACCGAACTACTGATGACTTTAAGGTGGTACCCGCTACCCTGAGTATTGTCTTTCACACTTCAGCTTTGACAGCAATTCGAGCTACCTCGATGTGAAAGTGCGTAACACGTGAAGGTGAAATGCAAACACTGAGCTTCGCACTTGTCATTCTCAGGTATAATGACGCCAAGGACCTTTTCAGCACCATTATTTTAGTTAATCCATCCAAAACATTCATATCTGTTATTTTACGTCGCTACCAGCATCAAGTTTGTGTGGTGTCGGATAATAACATGATGAATGAATGTAGGGCTGATGGTAGAATGACAACTGGCAGGAGAAAAACCGCCTGTGTCACTTTGTCCTCCACAAATCCCACGCGATTTGACCTAGTTTCGAACCCTGGCTGCCGCTGTGAGAAACAGGCGACTAAACGCTTGAGCTTATTGCACAGTCTGCATCATATCATATTAAATGCTTACTTACGGCGGTAGATATTATTTTTAATGAAATATTATAATTGAGTCTCTTTGTGTGGCAAAAGTAGATACATTCAGGTCTACAGATATTACCGTTAAAGAGAGATTAATAATCAAAAGTTCGCAGTGACATAGTAACAATATTTTGTGTGGTAAAATGTACGTTTTATATCATATATTACTTATTTATTTATTTATGCTTTATTTAGAGACCTGAGGTGGGATAGCTCTGTCGGTATAGCGACGGGCTATGGACTGGAACGCCCTGGTTCGATTTCCGGCAGTGCAAAACTTTTCTCTTCTCCTAAGCGTCCAGATCGGCTCTGGGGCCCATTCATCATCCTATACAACGGGTACCGGGGGCTATTTCCCCGGGGGTAAAGTGGTAGGGGCGTGACCACTCACCTCTATCAAATGCAGAGGTCAAGAATGGTGGAGTTATACCTCCACTCCCACATATGACTTCATGGCGTGGTGCTTAGCTAATCAAGCACAAGAATTTTACTTTTTTTTTATTTCGAGACGCTTTCAATTAAACTGTACAGCGTCGAACGATTTGTGAACGATAAATTGGAAAGGATGTTTAAGGAGGCCGCTGTGACTTAATTTAAGGTATGTCATATACAGATATGCTACTGGAAAGACTGAGGAAAACTACGAAAAATCAATCAGGATAGCCGGTCTCCGAGCTGAGATATTCACCAGGAACCTCTCGAATACGAAGCAGTAATACTGACTACTCAACCGCGATGCTCTGTTATTGTTATCAGCTCTCTCACGCTTCAAAATCACGGGCAACTAAATGTTAAGGGCACAATTATCGATAATTTCAGCACATGGTAGGCCTATAGTATTTCCAGATCGTACACCAAATTGGTATACAACAAGCCCCGATTTAAGCTTCCAAATGGATGCATTAACAAATCAGAATTTTAAAAAACTGTAGCATAATAATTATTTTTTTAGTAGCCATTACCAAACAAAATTGCATTTTTGTGTAACTATCCTATTGTTGAAGATCCGTAATCGAACAAAAATATTTTATTATTCTGACAACTCACTTCGTCCTTATATCCGATTTATAGATACTTGTGTATAGTATATCCTCTCTGATATATGCTAACCTTAAGAGTGTTCCGCCAAGTACAGTTCGGCGTTCAACAAGTTTCCCTTGCGAAGCTATGGCAGAAACCACCGGTCTTGCTCGCTTTACTGCTGTACATCGCCTATTTAATCACTGGATACGAACTGAAAGGGAGACTTCTACAGAACAGATATATAATATCGGCTAGTACTTACCTAGTTCCGACGATGGTTGTTAAGTGATGCGATTCCCACAAAGGCTAAAAGAAAACTGTGGCTGTGTAGAAGGTGGGATGTGCTCGGGAGTGCAATCTCTATTGGGAGCTTCTATATTTAGACATTGGCATGCTCATACTGCCTTCAACTTCAGATTTTAACTCTGTCCGCCGTGCTAGTGGTTCTCTGTGATGTGATCCAGGAAACAACGTTTCTGTGCGGAAAGATGATGAAACTGTTGTCCATAAAGTCGGAGAAAATCTGTATGCCATCTGTGACTGGCCGATTTAATCCTCAAAACCGTAGCAAAATATTTAATTATGTACTAATCATCAACTTGAAAACAATATTTATCATTTCATCAGTGTGTCTATACTTACGTTACTAATTAGTATTTCTTCGTTGCCTGACCTGCCTACTTTTAACTTGCGCCACTGTGGTAAATAAATGTAATGTTACCACCCGTGTTGGCGCACGATATTTTTGTACGGTTGGTATTATTGTCACAATAAACATGTTGCTCTGGAAGCGTACGAATGTGTAATTTTGTATTTCTTTTCACTGCAAAACATTTTTGTGTAAACTGAGATGGCTTATGTGTTTTCTGATGGATATGGATACTTACAAAACTCGTCAGGTGTACTTGGATCTGCCGTAAACATAAAGTATAAGAAGAAATACAATAAAATTAAAAGAATAATCAAAGACTTGGTTTTTGTGAGTACTATGAATATTATGCCTTCAGCAGTTGTACTTACGAAATCCTAACACTTTTGGTTAAAGGGCGCAAATACCCCAAGTAATTGAGGTGCGAATAAATATTCTATTCAAATAACATTTTATAAACCTAGTAGCCTAATAATAATCTGTAACCTAGTTCGCGGGTGATTATTCAGTAATGCAGTCGAAATATTTTCTTTATTTGTTGAATTACTTGAGCAGGTATTTAGTGACTATCACTTATCAACTGTGATCCACATCTTCATAGGAAAATGCAGCTCTCTGTGACCAAGTATCTCAGATGCAAGAAAAAATTCTTATTGTGAAGGAAGAAAGAAGGTTCTTGCTCAAGAAACTTTATCATCTTCAGGCGATTGCAGGTACAGATACCATGGCGAGTTAACCTTTTTCAGTCAGATGTTAGGAGTCATCATAATCTGCAGTACAAGAAACCCCGTTGGATTTGCAAGTAGTTAATATTACTTTACGCATTTGTTGTTATCATAATGTCTTCTGGGCATTAATTGTGCACTTCCCTAATTTGTTGCTACTATATGGAAATGGCTGTCCATTTGGAGGTTTATGTACATTATATGCATACTTAAACGATACAAAATGAAAATAATGGAAGTATTAGATCACTTAAAGAGTTATTACTATAATCAAACCATCTCTGAAATTATGTGCTGAAGAATCCAAAATGAATATTGGTTTGTTGGAAAGATCAACTAAAAAAGCCAAATTAAGTATACTTAATAAAAACTGCGAAAATTTGCAATGTATTTCCAGAAACAGACAATCAGTTGCAAATCCACACCCCAAAACTTCCAACAGCCGGACTGAGCCCACCTTCGGCTACCTCAGACACAAGTTCATCAGCTAAGAAAACGTCAACCAAGAAGAGAGTTACATCTGAAATTCTAGGTATACATATTTTATGCAGAATAATATCTTACGTTTTACACTTCCTGCCCTATACAGTGGGCACCAAACCAGCAGTTTGTTATAATTTTGCAGAGCTTGTGTAAAAAAGCAATCAGTATAGAGAAAAAGTCTGGACCATTTGAAGGTGATGTCTGACTTGAATGCAAAATGGGGGAAAAAGAATAGGAATAAATAAATTGTATGCTACCAATTGTAGACTCTTTATTAAATCAGTTTCATTTTAAATGAAGCCAGTGCTTTGGTAGGCAGAATATTTGTCAGATTCTCAATCTGCCAATAATTCAGCATGTTGAAACATGGGGAGTTGATGTATTCCATTGTATTATCCTGGCATAATTTTCCATTGTATGCTGGGATAATATATCAGTCAATATTTCTGCACTCTTCTCATACCTACAGTTACATTTTGGTAATCTGTAACATGAAATGGCAATCTAAAACTCTGTGGTGAGAATTATTGATCAGTATTTCTGCAATATTATTTCATCTTTAAGGTTCTGTAATGTTCATTATATTTGGACTAGGTTATACAGAAGAGGTACATGCAGAACTTTCCATTGTTTGCTCTAATCTTATCTTATAAGAGACATGCTGAAAAATGTAATTTTTCTAAAATTAAACCTTTGCTTACTAACATCAACACTGATACATTTTAAAACCTCTAATAGATTTACATATAGGAAAGTGCATAAGCTGCTTAACTGAGACTGGTTTTCCATAGGGTTTGGTACTTATCATACATGTCAGTTGGTCATACTGATCTTTTTCACACTAATTACAGTTATTTCAACAGCTAAAGGGATTTTTTTTTATTTCTTTCCCAGAGACTATCAAAATGAATCCAAAAGTGAAAAAAAGTAATACAACAAAAACAAAGAAAATAGTGCATCCAATTCCTCTTGATATAACTGGTCGTCCAGTTTTCCCAATTGTACTTGGAGGATTGACAGTGCATAGCTTGGGAGAGGTAAGAGACATTTTATTCCCAATCATTTTACTTTTCATAGCATCGGGTCACTTAATTTTTTAAGTGATACTGTTTGAGGATTTTTAAAAGTAGTTTACCTACATACTTGTATGATTAAAATCCTGTACTTCAAGTTATTAATAGATAGAAATGGACCGAAAGAATGATATCTGATGTGCTGCCCAGCTTGAGAATACTCACTTGGTTAGTCTGTCTTCAGCATGAACTACGTATAGGAATATTCTTCCCATATATAACCAGACACTAACCTCAAGGGCTAGTGCAAAGATAACTGTTTATTTTCATAACATTTCTCCACACTGCCCCAAGGTCCAAAGTTATCATTCAGACCTGTCTTCAGCTCCCAAATTGGTAACTTCCATAAGTATGTAATGCCTGTAAACAAATATGAGTAGGGTTTAGGTTATTTCTGACAAGTGTGCATGGCTGTCTTTTGGGATACTAGAAAATGGCTGATAAAAGTACTTCTTGATACTTAACATATTCATAGGTGACCAATTAACTTTAAAATATATCACCATGATGGTCAATATGTGTGAAGATTTCTCTTCTTTTTGGAAATCTAATTGTGAGCCTACCAGTATCTAAAAAGAATGGTTGTAATGAAGGAGAGCCAACTAGTCTCATCCTAATTCCCAACATACATGTACACCTTTCTGCAAATCCATATGGTGGACTGCCTAAATGCAATCATTGGGGTATAGTTTCATCAGATGCTTTTTTTGCACTTGCTTTTGCAAGTAACTTCACATGTTTGAAAAAATAATTGCCTCCTATTCAGTTCTTGGTAAATCCCATAAATTCATTTTAAGGAATTCACACATGAAGTAACTATTACATTAGACTGACAGTTGTGGACTTGTTGGAAGCAAAATACTGTAAAGTTATCCCTATGCTTAATTAGTTAAGCACTGTGCCATGAGGGCATATAGGGGTGTGTAATTATAGCTTCATCTTTCTTGACCTCCAGACCAGATGGAGGTGAATGGTCAGCTGCCTCAAGCAAAATAGTGTGAATGCACCAACATGTCAGATGACTTAAGGTTACTTTTCTAATGCTTCCTTCACAGTTATTTGCAGATAAGTAAATAGTCAGTATTAGTCTTCATGTACACTGATTTCAATCTGCTTGTTTTAATGTGCAGGTTGTTTCAGACAGACCTGACTACCACTCCGAAGATCTCATTTTCCCAGTAGGATACTGCTCCACTCGAGTATATGGTAGTCTTAAAAATCCAGAAAGAAAATGTGTATACACTTGTAAAATTGTGGATGGGGGAACTGCACCCAGGTACATAGCAAATGTTTTGACTTATTTTCTATCTGCAAAGTCTGAAAGCTGTTCATGCTATGAGAAAGTTTTTTCCACTGATGTGTTTTTGGAATGGATGTTAATCTCTTGCTTTACTCCTTATGTATGTTGTAATTGAATCTTAACAGAATGATGGAATATATTATGTTTAATTATCTGTTAGTCTTTTTGCCAGATTATCTTTATACATATTTTACTTTTACTATGAAAATCTAGGCCGAAGCCATTACCTTTGTTATCCAATATATATAAATGTAATTTTCTTGTAACTTTTCTGTCTCTTTCCTGTTGGTTTCCTCATTCCTACCATGGACATAATGGAAAACACCCATCAATATTATGAAGTTTCCTATATGTGGTAGAGTCATTAAGTTCGTGGAATGTGGTTTTATTGCATCATATTACAAAGTATTCACATACACTTACGCAGATCCACATCGGCCCCCAGAATAGTTGCCGTTGATCACAATTCAAGTCTGCCAATGCTGATATAGCTGCCAAAAACTTTGCTGAAACATATTGGCAGTAAATTCCTGTATGATGTTTTGTGGCCATTTCAAGAACTTATTGACTGTGGTAGTATATTCTTAATACGAGGGGGTACCCAAAAGAAACCGAACTTATTTTTTTTTAAACTTATTTATTCAAATTTTAAGCACAAACCTTCAATCCCTTTCAAAGTACTCTCCACTTACACTAATACACTTGTCTAGTCTTTTATTCCATTTTTCAAAACATTGTCTAAATTCATCTTTTGAGATGCTTGACAGCGCCTCCATCGTTTTTTTCCTTCACCTCAGCAACATCAGCAAAACGCTGAAAAAAAGTTTTGAACATTTCGGGACTCTTCTTTCAAAGCACAGCATGCTTCCACGCGACCTTGTTTTTGTTCAGCAGTCAGCAGTCGTGGCACGAATTTCGCAGCCACCCTTTTCATTCCCAAATCTTCTGTCAAAATTCGCTGAACTGAGCTCCAAGTCACTCCCGACAGCTCCACAATTTCTTCAATGGTCCGTCGTCGATCTTCCTTGATGATTCACGAATTTTTTCAACATTTTCATGTGTGCGGGCCATTGCAAAAACGACGATCACACAAAACAGTTGTCACTATAAACTCTGCCGAAACTAGTCCTTACCTTCTGAAGCAACGGTAGTCAGCTTATCGACTCAGGAATGTTAGCTCTATGTGCTCATAGCGGCAAAACGCAGTACTACAAAAGCTCTGCCCACAAAAAAATTAGTTCGGTTTCTTTTGGGTACCCCATCGTATATAGCAATTGTACAAATTATCTTAAAACAAAATTAGGAAGGTCAGGAAGTTTCAAATCAAATATTGGAGTGGGATAAGGTAGTGTCCTTCACCATCATGACAGATGAAACCGCGTCTTTAGTTGGAGGAGAGAACAAAACACCCGACAAGAAAACAAGAAATCTTACATATGTTGATTTGGGGGAAGAGGAAAAGAAGTCAAAGAGAAATTGAATCAGGGGAACATTATTATGAATGAGCACGGGCTAAAAATGAATATGGACAAGAACGGGTATGAGGATTTCAAGAAACCTAGACACATAAACATCACAGTAAAAGCTAATGACACTGGTTAAAACAAACAAACAAATTTATTTGGGAGCAGACTAAATTCAGAAGGGAAGGTCAATGGTGAGATCAATGGAAAAAGATAAAATAACTCTAAATCTCAATCAAATTAGAAAACTAATATTATAGTCATTCTACAACCATAGATTTTATTGCATATAGCATATGGACTCATTTTTTATTGGCAGATCTATAGATTGATCTAGCTCAGGTTATGATTCTGTGGCAGAGTTTTGTGAGCAGAGTAATGAACTTTTGTGTTCCATAAAAGCAAAAATTCTTTACCACACATGGAAGAGCCCATGCCATGTAGTAAGACAAGTCTCATACTCGGTTATACAGTAATCGTCCTAGCAGTTCTGAAAAGAGCAATTTTTTTAAACACTGAAATATTTTAAGATTACATAATTATGGAATGTGATGTTTTATAGTTGGCAGATAGATACCACCAGGGTTTTGGATGAACCTGCTGCCTCTGTAAGTATTGTCATGTGTAGGGGGGTATGCGTGACAAAATGATGGGTTCTAGTTCAGATGATTGGATTTATTACCAGCTTGGATACACGCACTCTCTTGATTACACTCTAATACACAGCGCTATCGCTGATTTACATACACCTTACAATCCACTGTTGCGTCACACACATAAAGTCTTCTAAATCACATTTTAAATCTTCATAGGTCTTCTGTGAACTCCCAATACTCATACTCAATACTGCCTCAATAGTGTTCGCTGCTCCTTATATAGGCTCAGCACGGACCACGTAGAAAACACATTGCCTAGCAATGCACACCCTACTGTTGCGTGATGTCACAGCCTAGCAGGGAGGGGTGTTTACCGAGCGTCGCACAGCAGCGGGATGAGTAGGTGTATGCAACGTCACTTGCACTTCCTGTTGCGCCATCCAAGAGTTCACAGAGTTGTCGCCTAGCAATGTACCAATAAAATCCGCAACTCTCATGTTGCGCGGGTGCCCCGAGGCCTCTGTGGCTCAGCAATTCCTGCATAGAGCCAATATGCCACAGTATTCATATTTTTCTCTTGTCCATTAAAATCCATATTTTGACCATAAATAATCCATCACACTAAAGAGCTTTTTCGCTGTTTAACAGTTTATACTGAGTCAGCTAAGCATGAAAGTTTTGTTCCTTAAGTGACATATGTAATAAATTTATCATGGACAGTAGGTGATACATAAATAAATGCACTATTGCTACAAACTTTAAAAGATTAAAATAATTTAAATCTGCAAAATTTAGTATTCTGGTGCTGCATAATTTTCATAGTCTCTTGTCTTCACATCTAGCTTTGAAATTGTGGCAGACAGTGACTTGGATGCACCTCTTGTGGGCAATTCTGCCAGGGAGTGTCACTCCATGCTTCTGCGGCACATCAACCGTGCTGTTGGTGTGGAAGTTGTCAACACAAAAGGACGTGGACCAGAATTCTTTGGATTGTCTCATCCAACCATTCAGAACCTGATTCAGAGTTCACCAGGAACCAGAAAATGTTCCCTATATAAGTGGAGTAGATTTGAGGTGAGAATTTAAAGCAAAGAATAAAAAGGTGCTAAACTGCCTTCTTCATGTCAGAGTATGTCAACCTCAGTTTGTATGTTAAATTTAGTCCTCTACTCAAAATAAAACACTGATATGACCAGCTGCATAGAATAAGTCATGGCCTCTTTTTAAAGTGTTTGTCTAAAGCCCTTTGCTCTGCAGATTGGAAACATGTCTAAAAACACCAAATGAAATGGCTGGCCTTGAAGAAGGGAATGTAACCTACATTCTCTTAAAGCGGTTACTGGCTGTCACAATTCTTTATGGTGGTCTTGCAATAAATAATCTCCTCTTCTATATGTTTTCTGTAACTTCTGTTTTCCAGGTTTATCAGTATATGGTCCACTGTGGCATAAACATAAGTTCAATTCCATAAATGAACAAACACCAAAATAAATATCACTGCAAAGAATGATTTACTTCATACATATCTCTGCCACATTCAAGAAAACTGGGTTTAATTTTCTTAATGACAGGCTATTCCAACTAAGCTTTAACATTAGTTGTTTTACTCATGATGCAATGTACTATTTTTATAGACTAGATTTTGGCATGGATGTTCAAAATCCCTGTTGGAAAGTTCCTCAATATAAACAACTGTATATTATTTTATAGAAAATGAAGACTCTTTCATAATTTGTTACACATACATTTCAATAATTATTCCAGGTAAGCCGGTCAGGAGGAGAACCTCTAATGGAAGAGAACGATCCTTCATTAAATTTTGATGCCCTACAGCGTAGTATTGCTTTCAGCAAATCACATATGGTGTCAGTGATAAAAGACGAGCCTTCAGAGCAACTGCTGAGTAGCTCCAGCGCCACTCTTCGAGACCTGCTTATGTCTTGATTGATGTGAAAGTTCATACACTTAAGTTGATATTGTTAGCAACTTTTTCAAGTCAGTGTTTACAATAGAACTTAGTTGCAATCAGAAGTAACATGAGTGAGTGTACTAATTTTACCAGAAAGTAAGACTCTTATTTAAAGAGAAATTGAGCAAGATTTTTAAGGTATGATTTTATAATACAGAAATTTGTATCATGATGAAATTGACAGAACTGGAATATTGCCAGCGTCTTGTATGATTAATAAAGTAATCTCTTTTATGGTATATCCAGGAAATAGAATTGCTTTTTATATTGCCTGTCATAACTTCCCAACATAAACAAGTTCTGCTCTCCATGTAATCTAATGCACTGTATAATCAAATTCACATCTATCGTTGAGAAACATATTCCACTCAATTTAACATTTAATAAATACCACCACCACACAAAATGGCACTGAAGGAGAAAAGATTTTATGACATCACAAATCCAGAACAATTGCAGACTGCATTTTCCAGTTCTAAATTCAATACTTCTGCAAAAGCTTACAATAAAAGTGCAATCACTGGACTTGCTGCATCTAGTTGCAGGAAGTATTTCAAAGGGGACAGCATGGAATAGAGTGGAGATTGCAAAGAAAAAAAATGCAGTCTGGAAATTATATGATCACGTTGCATAGGTTCATGATCTACCATGCCACATTTCACACACAAACACAGTATTTAGTTATCTACTATGCAACTTTTGTATCTTATTTTAAAAAATGTATTAAATTGAAGAGCTCTGTCTTCTGGGATATAACACCATTTAGCCTGTTGAAAGTCAAATGATGTTTCAAAGGAGCATGTTGCCTCGTCCTTGAGCTATCTGCTTTATGATGGTATCTTGCCTGGCTTATTCTTTGACCCTGAAGGTGCAAGTGACATATTCCTTTGAAACATCAGTTGATTTTTAATGGAATATATATTATTTTATCCCAGAAGACAGAACTCTTCATAAGCACTGTTGTGAGAACCTCAAATCCTATACATGTTAATTATTCGTGTTTTAATATTATTTCCTGGTTTTTGTTTCTTTATGTTGAATTTCCATTTTTCTTTCATCCTCAATATGCAACTAGCAAGAAAGTGCATAAGTTGTAATGAAATTGAGTTTATTAACAGAGTTCAATTTTTATTTTCTTGCAAACTGTTTCAGATAAAAATAAAAACTGTCTACTACATGTACCTGTAAATAAAAGATTAGAAATGCCACAAAATAAATGCCTCACATCTATGCAAAAGTTCCTAATAGGTTTACTACTCTTTTTCCTTAGTAAATAAATAACTTATACTTTCACTGGATGACACTTCACTGCAATATATGTCAAAATGCTGTAAGGATTTCAACATACAATGCTACTAAAATCCATCTTCTACATTAGATACTGGCAGCATAAACTTAAGGACAAGATGTCAAAAAAAGCTACTGTGGCAAAATGGTAGACTGTTTCAAAGGTAATTTAATTTTAAAATAATTACATATTTTGATATTATTAAAACAGTACATAGGTTATGAGTTTGTAACTGTGATAGTACCATAGATTACCATATTTACAAACTTATTTAGGGAAATCAGGCACTATTATTCTCCAAATCTCTGTAACTGCAATGAGAAGCTCTGAATGCTGTCACGATCAAGTGAATATTCATTTAATATGTATGCACTTGCTTAGCCCTTTAATGGTTTCAATGCATTTACAGAAGAAAATGTTGGTTGTAGGTTACGTTTTACAGGATTTATTTTACATGAAAAATATGTTTCAGGTTCATCACATGTCCACTATCAGAATGTTCCCAGACTGTTGTGGTTGTAACTGCGTCAGTGAAAAAAAAGATAAAATGGGTGGCCAGGGTCACACTTCTGCATGCCTATTGCATTAGTCTGCTACGTGAGACCACTCTGTGAACACGCACTGTTTCTATATGAGTGCTTTTTCAACTTCGTGTTTCATTTTGTCTGTGATGTATGGTAAAATTGAGCAATGTGTCTGCACAAAGTTTTGCATGAAGCTCGGTAAATCTGCTACTGAAACCCATGAAATGCTTTGTGGGGCTTCTGGAGAACATTCTTTAAGCCCGACAGTGGTTTTTAAATGGCATTCACGTTTCAAGGCCAGTCGAGTGTCAGTTGAAGATAATGAATGTTCAGGGTGACCAAGCACCAGCAAAACAACTAGTATTTGATCTTATGATCGCCAGAACAAAAGAACACAATGCTACACCATTAAAAAACTTAAATTTTAATGTTGGACTAAAAGCTTACATTATCTAAAAGTGGCATAACAGAACACATGTATGATTGGAAGTCTGCAACATGAAAGCCGGCTTTACCAGTACTATTTGCGACTCCTCGTATTTTTTGCAAGTGTCCATTCTCACTATCTGAAAGTTATTAGACACAACATCAGTGTTTCATACCATCAGATCTTTAACTTCTAATATAAAAAACTTCTATATAAAAACTGTATTTCTTGATTTAGCTCTATACAGAATGTCATATGACTTTCATTTGTCAACTGCCTTGGCCAGAATTTGAAAATATTCTAAATGTTGCATTTGGTTAACAAACATAAGAATTTTAAAGAATGAAACATTCAGTAAATATAATGTCCTGAACTATGTTGGTGAAAACACTAGTATAACCCCTTGCTACTCCATTTAAATTCAATGTCTGCTGTTCTTCTAAATCCATTAAATATGAATAACATCTAAAAGTTCATGATGATGGTATATTAATACAACGATATTTCTTTTGGCTATGAGCAATCATCCTCCATATTAGGTGGGTCCCTTGTCACCACGGCATGGCACGTCCTCAGGTTGTGGATGGAGGAGATGCCCTCCAGTTTTGGAGGGAAGCTGTGAACATATTCAATAAGCAGTCGCAGACAGCCAACAAGGGGTGGCCCTCCATCTTGGGGGTTGGGCGTGGGGCCAACAACTCTTCACTGTAAAAATTACTTTGTTACGAAAATGAACACAAAGCCTTGGACCTGGTCAGATTCCTTGGATAAACAACCTAAGCTAATGAAAATGGATATGAGATTTGGCACTTGGAATATATGAAGTTTGTATAGGGCAG